GCTGGGGATTTGAACCCGCCACCTTAGGTGTACGTGGCTGGCGCCTTAGCCGGTTGAGCTATAGGCGCCGAGCCTGAGCTGTTTTCTTTTATATCATTTTCTAAGAATTCTTTTCCAGTAATAGTTGCTATTTTCTCTTAATTTCTCATTGGCAGCAACTTGACTTCATGAGCAAGATGTGTTGTTTGTCCAACTTAAATTTTCAGTTTATAAAGCAATTATCTTTGCCTAAAGAGCTGACTGGAGTATTGTGATTGAATGATTGTATGCATTTTTACTGCATTTATAAAAAGAATATTTATGGATTTAGAACAATTGCAATTAATAAATTAACCTATTTTATTGTACAGATGCAACTAGTGGCAAGGAAAATTATATTTTCATATTTAAACCTGCTAGTGAATTCAAAGAATGACCTGGCTGTGGCTCATATCCTCAATATTCCTGATAGAGGGCTTGGAAGAGAAGCCTTCACTGATTTGAAACATGCTGCTCAAGAGAAACAGATGTCTATCTTTTTGGTATGAGTGTGTTACATTTTCAAGATTGTTAAAGACTTCTTTAAAAGTAGATCCATGTACCCTGATGTAGAAGTTCTTGTAATTATGATGAAACAACTTTTAGTATGTAATTTATGTTTTATCTCTGTATTTGAAAATCCATGGAATTTTTTACTATAGTTTGGTATGGAAGACTTTTTCTAAATCATATTTCCCTACATATGTTCTATAGTGTGCTAACCTTGATAAATTCTCTTTGAAAATGTTTCCAATGACAAAAAATTTAGAAATAGTTTGTACCCCTATTGGTTATAGTGTCTTCTGGCTTACATACTTATATGTAATGAATTACATTATACATAATGAATGTTTGTATATGAAGAGATCTAAGAAGTCTTGCCATAAAGAAATCTGCTTAAAGCTTATAATAAATAAGTTAATTTTGTTATTTAGTATTTTGTTTTCTAAGTTCTTTGATCATGGAACTCTGCCCCAAATTATTGATACTTCATAAAATTTGTCTTTCCTAGGATACACTTGGAAAATACTGCTTTCTAACATTTCATCTTTGATGGAGATACTTTTATGCAGTCCCTAAACTTTTTGGCACCAGCGACTAGTTTCATGGATGACAGTTTTTGATGGACTAGGGCAGGTAGGAATGTCGGAGGCAGCATTAGATTCTCTGGAAGTGTGTGCAAACTAGATTTCCACATTCAGTTTATAACAGGGTTTATCATGCTCCTATGAGAATCTAATGCTGCCACTGATGTGGCTGGAGGCGGAACTCAAGTGATGATGTGAGCAATGGGGAGCAGCTATAAAGACAGATGACGCATTGCTGGTCCACTGCTCACCTGCTGTGCAGCCAATTCCTAACAGGCCACAGACTGATACTGGTCCATGACCCGGAGTCTGGGGACTGTAGTTTTTATGTACAAACATCACACGTGTATTTTCATCATTGTGAAGACAAATCAAAGCCCCTTTGAACTATACATAATGAAATCATCCTAGGATGTGAAAGCTAGATAAAATGTAGTGATTATCTAAACCTTTATTTAACAAATAAAGAAGCTGAGCTTTGGAAGTATTGAATTGCCTGACCTGTTTAACACAACAGATCAGTTGACATTAAAATTTCTTTGTTTCATATAGCAATTTCAGTAGCCAATAATCAATTTATATTAGGATATAATCCTGAGTGCAATAATCAATGACATATTGTCATGAATATGTTCTTTAGCCTTTAATTTGTCCTTTACTTAGCTCTTTAGTCCCCACCTGCAGTTGGATGACATTGCTAACACCCTTGGTAGCATGAATTCTGATAATATGTGTTTCTTTGGTTATTTGATTATGAATCAAAGTGTGACCTGAGCCATAAAATCTGCTTCACTTTAACTATATTTCTAGAATTATATTGATGTACCTAGCTTTATAAATTATAGTTTTAACTTCTAAATCATTAAATGTAATTGAATCATTTGTTTTAATTCATAGGTGGCCACATCATTTATTAGAGCAATAGAGCTCGGAGGGAAAGGATATGCACCATCACCATCTGATCCTTTAAGGACACATGTAAAGGGATTGTCTAATTTTATTAATTTCACTGACAAACTAGATGAGATTCTTGGAGAAATATCAAATCCAAGGTAACAACTTTTCATAAATCACAAATGTATGATTAATCTATCTTTAAAACTTCACAGAATCAGATAGTGTACACAGCTATGATTTAATAAAAAAAAATTAGAAAAAAAAACTTCACAGAATCAGAGATAAGAATAAAGAAGGTATTAATATGACCAGGCATCAAGCCAAATAATAGGGAGAAGAAACAAAATATCTAGATGAATAAATTATAATCACATGACCTTACGTCATAAGTGATTCTGAGATTTTTTTTTTTTTTTTGAGACAGAGCCTGTCACCCTGGGTAGAGTGCTGTGGCCTCACAGCTCACAGCAACCTCCAGCTCTGGGCTCAAGCGAGTCTCCTGCCTCAGCTTCCCAAGTAGCTGGGACCACAGGCGCCCGCCACAATGCCTGGCTATTTTTTGGTTGCAGCCATCATTATTGTTTGGCGGGCCTGGGCTGGATTCGAACCAGCCACCTTAGCCGCTTGAGCCCATTTATAATATAGATGACTCCCATTTATAATATAGATGTGTTGGGTGGTGAGTAATTTCAGAGGGTAGAAGTAGATTGTGTATGCTAGCAATCACGGTGGATAACATATTCTAAGATTCTAATAAGTTTTTTCAGAATTTTATTCTGATTTGCATCCTGTTTTCTCATGTGGTTATTCATTAAAAAGAAGTAAATTTGGGAATAGGATTTTGAAAATGACTTAGAGAATACCAGTGATATATTCTGAACTTCTAGATAAAATACTAGCTGGCTATTTCTTCTGAGATAGCAGATAATTAATTTTTAAAAATAGTTTATTTTTTAAAAAGCAATATGGATATATCTTATGAAGGTCAAGGGATGCTACAGATTTATAATGAAAAGTTTTCCTCAGAGGAATAGACTTTAACTGTTTTTTGTATTTGTTTTTATATTTATCTCCCTTTAAAGGAAATTTTTTTATGGCTATTTTTGAATTTTCAATTTTAGACATTACCCATTAACATCCTGCCATGGAATATGAGGAATCCCTTCACCAACCCCCTAACAACCTTTTCCCCTAGACCCCCTTCTCTCTTCTTTCATCCTTCTAATATAGTTATGCCACAATTTTTAGTTAGATCACATTTTAGAATTTACATTATTATGACTGTAAATATTGCCTACAGCTAAGCTCTGTGATATGTTTCCTTCCTTATACAATTTTTTTCCTAGGGTTAATCGTTGTTTTTTTTTCTTTTGCTTTATTCCCTGTATATTTATCATCAATTCTTTATCAGTCTTGACAGTAAAACTGTAAGATTTCTTCTTAATAATTGGTTTGCCTATAAGTTCTTTTTTGCCTTTGCAGACATTCCTTCTGGAGAATTCTTTGTCTTCCTTATTCTATCGTTAAACTTTTTGTTTGCTAAGCCTGTGTCAGAGTGGCAACCATGAACTTTCATTATCACCTTGTGAATTTTCTCTGCCTCTGTCTTGTTTCCTGGAATTCATGACTTTATTTTCAATTGGTAAACCTCTTATTTTTCTCAAATAACTTTCTCAGAAAAAGTAAATAGTAGGGAAATGTCTTCATTTTGGTCTCACATTTTTTAAAAAAATTTTTTTTTTATTTCAACTTATCTTACTTTGAAGTTTTTTTTTTAATAATTTTTTTTTTTTTTACTTCTTCCTCCTGTAGTGTTCTCTTGCCCCCCATGTAGCTGGGATCACAAGGTCTGGCTGTCTTGTTGTTGTAGAGACGGGGTCTCACTCTGGCTCACTCTGCCTCAGGGGAGTCTTCAGCTGGTCTCAACCTCTGAGCATAGATGATCCACCGGCCTTGGCCTCCCACAGTGCTGGGACAACAGGCGTGAGCCACCATACCCGGCCTGGTCTCACATTTGATTGTATATGAAAGGTGTGGGTCCAGTTTCAGTCTTTTACATATGGATATCCAGTTCTCCCAGCACCATTTATTGAATAGGGATTCTTTCCCCCAGTGTGTGTTCTTGTTTGGTTTATCAAAGATTAGGTGGCTGTAAGATGTTAGTTTCATTTCCTGGTTTTCTATTTGATTCCAAATGTCTTTGTCTCTTATTTTTGTGCCAGTACCATGCTGTTTTCACAACTATGGCCTTGTAGTACAGCTTAAAGTCTGGTATGCTGATGCCCCCCCACTTGGTTTTTATTACTAAGAGCTGCCTTAGCTATACTGGGGTTTTTTTGGTTCCATACAAAACGCAGAATCATTTTTTCCAAGTCTTGAAAGTATGATGTTGGTATTTTAATAGGGATGGCATTGAATAGGTAGATCGCTTTGACATTTTCACAATGTTGATTCTTCCCAGTCATGAGCATGGTATGTTCTTCCATTTGTTAATATCCTCTGCTACTTTTTCTTCTTAGGGTTTCATAATTTTCTTCATAGAGATCCTTCATCTCTTTTGTTAGGTATATTCCTAGGTATTTCATTTTCTTTGAAGCTATGGTGAAGGGAGTTGTGTCCTTAATTAGCCTCTCATTTTGGTTGTTATGTACAACCATGTACAAAGGCTACTGACTTGTGGACAGTGATTTTATATCCTGAGACATTACTGTATTTTTTGATGACTTCCAGGAGTCTTGTGGTTGAGTCTTTGGGATTCTCAAAGTATAAGATCATATTGTCAGCAAAGAGGGAGAGTTTGACCTTCTCCTGCTCCCATTTGGATGCCCTTTATTTCCTTCTCTTGCCTAATTGTATTGGCTAGAACTTCCAGCACTATGTTGAATAGTAGTGGTGATAGGGGATAACCTTGTCTGGTTCTAGTTTGGAGAGGAAAAGCTTTCAGTTTTACTCCATTCAGTAAAATATTAGCTGTGGGTTTGTGATAGATAGCTTTGATCGGTTTAAGAAATGTTCCACCTATGCCTATACTCTTCAGTGTTCTAATTAGAAAAAGATGCTGGATTTTTCTACATCTACTGAGAGGATCATATGGTCTTTGTTTTTGCTTCTGTTAATCTAGTGGCTAACGTTTATGGACTTGTGTATGTTAAACCAGCCTTGCATCCCTGGGATGAAACCTACTTGATCATGATGTATGACTTTTTTGATGATAAGCTGTAATCTATTGGTTAGGATTTGTTGAGAATTTTTGCATCCATATTCATTAGTGAAATTGGTCTAAAGTTCTTTCTCCCTTTTGGGTCTTTTAGTTGGGTTTTGGTATCAGGATGATGTTTGCTTCATAGAACGTGTTGGGGAAGATTCCTTCCTCCTCAGTTTTTTTAATAATTTCTGCAGTATGGGAATAAGCTCTTCTTTGAAGGTTTGGTAGAATTCTGGTGTGAAGCCATCTGGACCAGGGCATTATTTTGTTGGGAGATTTTTTGTTTCTTTGATCACAATACTTGAAATTGGTCTGTTCAGGAGATCTGTTTCTTCCTAGAGAAGAGGGTATGATTCCAAATACTCTGTTTCCTTCACCTTGTCAAATTTGGGGGGATAGAGTTTCTGGTAGTATTCAGAGATAATCTCTTGTATCTCTGTGGCATTAGTTGTTATTTCCTCTTTATCATTTCTGATTGAGGTTACTAGAGATTTTACTTTTCTATTTCTAGTTAATCTGGCCAAAGGTGTATCTATTTTATTTATTTTTTCAAAAAATCAGCTCCTTGTTTCATTAATTTTCTGAATGATTCTTTTTTTTTTTCAATTTCATTGATCTCTGATTTAATTTTAGATATTTCTTTTCTTCTGCTGGGTTTAGGCTTAGATTGTTCTTCTTTTTCCAGTTCTGTAAGATGGCTTGTGAGTTTGTTGATGTGCTCTCTTTCTGTTTTTCAAAAGTTTTTCTCATCTAAAGTGATAAATTTTCCTCTCAGAACTGCTTTTGCAGTATCCCACAGGTTTTGGTAGCGTGTGTCTTCATTGTTGTTATGCTGAGGAAGTTAATGATTTCCTCTTTTATTTCTTCCTGCACCCAACTGTCGTTCAACAGAAGGTTGTTTAATTTCCATGCCTTTGTGTGGGGTTGAACGTTTTTGTTGGAGTTGAGTTCCACCTTTAGTGCCTTGTGATCTGAGAAGATACAAGATAAAATTTCAATTCTTTTGATTCTGTTGAGGTTTGTTTTGTGTCCTAGGATATTATCAATTTTGGAGAATGTTCCATGGGGCGATGAGAAGAATATATATTCTTTATCTTTGGGATGGAGTGTTCTATATACGTCTAACAAGCACAGTTGTTCTAGGGTCTCATTTGAGACCTTTATATCTTTGTTTAATTTCTGTTTAGAGGATCTGTTCAGCTCTGTGAGAGGAGTGTTAAAGTCTCCTGTTATTATGGTGTTATAGGATATCATATTGCTCAGACTAAGTAAGGTTTGTTTCAAGAATCTGGAAGCAGTTAAGTTGGGTGCATAAATATTTAGAATTGAAATGTCTTATTGTTGTATTTTTCCCTTGATGTATATGAAGTTACCATCTTTGTCTTTTTTGACTTTAGTTGCTTTAAATCCACATGTATCTGAAAATAAGATTGCAACTCCTCTTTTCTTCTGAATTCCATTTGGCTTAAAAATGGTCTTCCAACCCTTAACTCTGAGTTTTAATTTGTCTTTTGAGGCTAGGTGTGTTTCCTGAAGACAGCAGATGGATGGCTTGTGTTTTTTAATCCAATCAGCCAATTTATGCTTCTTCAGTGGGGAATTCAAGCCATTAATATTTATTGAGATAATTGATAAGTGTGGTAACATTCTATTCATCTTATTTTGTAAGAGTCCATTGCTTAGTTTTATCTTTTGCATCATTATGGAAGCTAGGTTCTGTCCTTTAATTTCTGGGTGCCTACTTTGCTGTTGATTCATTGTGATGGTCAGTGTGTAGAACAGGTTGAAGTATTTCCCATAGAGCTGGTCTTATGGAAAATTTCCTCAGTGTTTGCATATCAGCAAAAGATTTGATTTCTCTGTCAATTTTATTTTATTTTATTTTATTTTTTGCTGTTTTTGGCCGGGGCTGGGTTTGAACCCACCACCTCCGGCATATGGGGCCAGCGT